GGAAATGCACAAAGTAGCAGTAGCAATTCATCAAATGAAGCTATTAGTGTTCATAGTTCTCCACCTATTACTGTCCATAGTTCTTCATCCGAAAGTCCAACAGAAATACCAGCACCAACTGAAGACGAAGAAGAAGAAGAAAACCAACATTTCAATTTTGAAAAATTAAAATCTAAATAATATTATATATAATGGGTTCAAGTAAATCAAAACCAGTAGAAATTGATGATGAAGAGGCTATTAAAGTAATAAAAGATATAGATGTAAATACGATAAGTGAAATGTCAAGAATTGATATTCTACAAATAAATTCATTGAAAGCAATAATCAATAAATTAGAAAAAGTTAATGAATGTAAAAAGGATAAAATATATTATAAATTACCTGCTCTCAACCTTTGTAGCTATTCATTATTTTGAATTAATAATATTAAAACATAATTAATATTATTAATTGCTTATACAACTTCTTTCACTTTTTGGCGTTGATGTTGAAACAGTGCTATTTGTTTCATCTATTAAATCGTCGCGAAGCTCGCGAGCCTCTGGCGAAGCGTCTTCATCAACAAAATTATTTTGAAATCTTAATAATTCCTCGTCCGTTGCCCTCCTCTTCAATGCCTTATAAAGTTTATGTATCCAAGAATTAGTATGAAAATTATAATTACCTCTACGATACAATCCACCACATCTACATAGTTTCATTGGCATATTATTATATTATATTAAGTTAGAATATCTTTATTCATCATTTGTAATTTGAAATGCCTGTTCAAAATTGATATGAAACATTTTGTTAATGTCTTTTGAATTCATATTCACGTAGAAAAAAGAATATGGAGCAAAATTAACGGCTTGACGATACATATCTAATAATTGCTGTTTATCAACAATGGCGCTATTTTCTTCAATAAAACTCATTAATTCACTGGCATTTTTCAACCTAAAAATATATAATGAACTGGCATTTAAACGAATGATAGGCGCTAAAACATTATATTTTTGTGTTGAACAAATTACACTTACTGCATCGTGCCTGCCTCTTGTAAAAAGTCCGTGTAATAATTTACTATATCTAACAAATTTAGGGTCGTCTGCGTGGTCATCTATAACGATTAATATTGAATGTAGTTTCTTTATCTTTTTAGATTTCATATAATTAATTATTTTCTTCTGTCTTTCAATTACATTTTCTAAATCACTTGGATTATAATTATCAAAATAAATTTGTTCTTTTTCATCATCCACGTGCAATTCGTCCCTGATATATTTTTTAACTTCTGTAAATGTAGGGTCGTTATGGACGCTGGGTGAAAATATAAATATTCTTGCGAATGAATTTCTATAAACATTCAATATTAAATTTTGAATAAGGACAGTCTTACCGCCTGTCGAAGAAGCAACTATAATACTTCTAAATGGTAATTTTGGCACGTGCTCATATTTGGATTGCTTGAATTCATATTCGGTTATGTTTATTGGTTTTATTATTGGAACATCTGTCATAGTTGATATTAAAGAAATATAGAAAATTATATTTAAAATTAACTTGTAATTATTATTAAATGGAACATCATTTTTATGATATGCTGGTGGCGAATATCATAAAATGGAACAGGTTTTCCATTGCTACAATCAATAAGCATTGAAGCTAATTAGTTTGTATCTCTCTCGCGCGTGCAATGAAAACCCCAAGTGCTGTGCCCCACCAATATTCTATTATGCATGAAAATAATAAAATTAAATTATTATTTTTTATCTTAATATTATATGACTGTTATCCATTGCAATTGTTGTAAAACTTATGATAGCAAATATTTATTTAAACATCTAAATTCAAAACATCATCAGAAATTTGTAGAATATAGATGGAATAAAGACGATACAATGAAAAAACTTTACAAGAAGAGAAAGGCAGAAATGAAAAATAATTTATCTTATTATTTATATGAATAGGAGTTATTCAAATTATATTAATATAATAGATGAAGTAGAAAATATAGAACAAGTAATAATTACTGATAATAAAACTAAAAAATGCTGTTATTATTCATTAGAATTAATTAAGTTTGTGATACAGTATATCAAAAATAAAAATGTAAATATTAATATAAATGGTGAAAAAGAAAAAGAAAAACAAAAATAAGACAAGTTTAAGTCTATCTTCAACAGAAGATAGCGGAGAAATTGTTAAAGAAACAGCAGTAATTGAGTTTTCTTGTCCAATGTGTAAAAAGATGTTAGAAATGAAAAATGAATTAGAAATAAAAAATAATAAAATTGTAAATGTTCATGTATTCCAACAAGTTTCAAAATAAGTAAAAATGATAAGAAAATGAGTATTGATAAAACTAAAGACAGTATCAACTTAGAAACTGATGTCCATAATATAACTTTTAAATTTGGTAGGCAAGCAACACCAACCGATAATAATGAAAACGAAACTCAGGAAACTATTAAACAAATCATGAAAAATTAGTATTTAAAGAGTAGATTTAACATAATTGCACTTTATAAATATATAATTAAATAAATAATTATCTAAATAAATATATAGTAATGTCTGAAAATGAGAATTATACTATTAATGATTTAATGAAGAAGATAACATTAATTGGTAAAAATATCAAAAACTTAAATGATATGATTAAATCCATTGATGACAAAATGAAACCAGTTGAACGCAATGAAGATAAAGAAAAAATCGAAAAGATATTTCAAGCAAAATCTATAGGAAGACCATCGGGCGACTACCCTACAAAGCAAAAGAAATACTGCGATATGTTGAATACAGGAAAAATCAAACAACCTAAAAGCACCACTTTAGAATTTTACAAAATTTCAAAAAATGATGATGGAGTATATGTATTATTTGAATAATTAATTATCTAAATAATTATAATAAATGAATTTATTAGAATTATTTAGCGGAACAAAAAGCGTCGGAACCATAGCAAAGTCGCTTGGATTTAATGTGATATCATTAGACTTGAAAAATGCTGATATCAACACTGATATTTTGGAGTGGGATTACAAACAGTTTGACAGAAACCATTTTGATTTTATTTGGAGTAGTCCCCCATGCACTGAATACAGCATAGCAAAAACTAGGGGAATTAGGAATATCGAATATGCAAATAGTATTGTCTTAAAAACTATTGAGATTATCAAATATTTCAATCCCAAATATTTTGTAATCGAAAATCCACAAACTGGATTATTAAAACATCAGGAGTTTATGGATGAGTTTGAATTTAAAGATGTTGATTACTGTAAGTATGGATTTAATTACAGAAAACGCACTAGGCTCTGGAATAACATTACAACTTGGAAACCTAGAGAATTATGTAAAAGGGATTGTGGCAACATCAGAAATAATAAACATATTGAAACTGCACAACGGCTACCATCAGGCACTAAGGAAAAATGGGGAGACAACCCAACAATACATAAGCAAGAAGACCTATACAAAATACCTAGCGAATTAATTTGTGAAATCTTGGTGAGTTTGACGGATTAAGGATTTAGGTTTGGGGGTGGGCTTGCAACTTGAGCACATGCAATTGCAATGAACCAAACCACCACCTATTTTGATAAAATCGGGGAATGATTTTGATAAAATCGGGGAATGATTTTGATAAAATCGGGGCATGATTTTGATAAAATCGGGGAATGATTTTGATAAAATCGGGGAATGATTTTGATAAAATCGGGGAATGATTTTGATAAAATCGGGGCATGATTTTGATAAAATCGGGGCATGATTTTGACTAAAACCATGCTATGATTATAACATGTAAAATATTATATGTTATAAGTATATTCCAATATTTAATTTTATTTCTTGTAAAAAAGTACTTAAAGAAATAAACACTATATATATATTATAATAGAAATGGAGTTTCAAAAACTACCAGTTGAAGTTATTAATAATATTATGTCCTATAAATATGGCAAGCCAGAATATATGAAAATAAAGCATAATCATAATGAAACATTGAAGAGAATACAAAGAAGATATAAAATTGACAAAACTGACATAGAAAGGGAAACAAAGCACTGTAATAATTTAGATGGTGATAAAGTAAAGAGACAAATATGTCAATATTATGTTTCTAGGAAGGTTCCATTAAGCATTGAAAGTATTGAAGATATAGTTATGAAAGAAGGGGATGAAATAGATAGCTTAATAGATAAGTATGTAGGATATGAAAGTTATAAAGCAATAATAATAGTTGATATAATTTTATGTGTAAGGTTTCATCATTTTAATTATTTTGAGGATGATGAATATAGCAGTTATGGTTTTGATTTTCATAGTGGTAGACACTTAATGGGTTCTATAGACCAAGATAATATAACTGATGTAATGGAATACGCAGTTGCAACAATATGTAGAAATATTGATAATGAAAGGAATACAATGAATATTGTAGGAGTAAAACACATAAGGTTTATACTAATTATTGATGAACCTGAATAATAAAACCATACTATGATTATAACATTTATACCCTTATATGTTATAATTATAATGTAAGTATAGCGTTTTATATATTGAAGATAAAATCCTACAAGGTGGGCCATGCGCAACTCCGGAATATCCAAATTTTGAAAAATGATTAATTATTTGTCTTCTCATTGAATTATTGAAAATGTTGTTTCTTATTGAATAATTCTTTTTAAAATGATATATATATTTATCTCTTTTGAAAAAAATATATTTTCTAAAATATTTTGGAAAATGTGTGTTTTTGAAAATAAAAATGTTTAGGTGTATTGAGTTTTTCAAAAAATAATTCAATTTTTGTTTTGGTATGCAGTACTAAAAAATATTTATCAAAATGTGTTTAGACTGTTTCAAAAATTGTTTTAAAATGGCTGTTTTGAGGCGCTTATTCAAAAAATGCAAAAAATCCTAGGGTGGACCCTAGACTTTTGAGTCCGAAAAAAGTTGCGCATGGCCTGCCCTAACTGGTGCGGGGTCCATTCAGCAGAGAGGTCTTGGAGTTAATGCGCATCTCTGGCAGCGTCTCGTATCACTACATTTTTTTGCCCATCAGCCCGGTGGTCTGCCTCTCCCTGGATAGCATTCTGGCGGCCTGCAAGGCCCGTGCGCCTGCTCGCATGGTGCTCAGCCTCTTCTTCAACCAGGTCGTGGCACTGGAGTTGTTGTACTTTCCAGCGGTAGGCATCCTTTTCACCTGGATTGCCAGGAGGGGCTTGTGGCTGGGGAATTGCAGGTGCAAACCCCTAGCCTTGGAAATCTTCTTCATTCAAGTACTCAGCGTTTTTGCTTCAGTTGCAGGTGCCTCTATGGGGGTGATCGTTGCAGCCAGAAGCTTAGAAGTGACACTTTTATGGAATGTGTTCGCAATAGTCTTTGCAGCCGTAGTATGGCGCTTCTGCTGGCACGCGAAGTGAGTCAGATGGTTTCACTTGGCTTATGCCATCTTCACTTTCGCCGAAGGCGACCGTCTTCAAAAGACCTGCTGAATTCGGGGGTCGCGGTACAAGGCATGGAGTTCCGTGTTTTTGTCCCTGATGCGCCTTCCGTCGTGGGATGAGGGAGCTCCTCTGTTTCTTGGGGGGATCCCTGAAAAAGGCGCCTTCACTCTCTGCCGAGCTCGAAAGGGGCTCATTTGGAGATTCCTTTTGCATCTCCGTTTAGGCGAATTCGGGGCAGTGGAATTTGCCTTTGCCCCCCCCTCCCACAAAAACGGATGTTAGTTCTAAAGCCCCCTGAAAGCTGGAATGGATTCCAGTTGACCTGGGGCTTCAGGTTTGATTGTGGCTCCCATCGGATTCGCCCGAAAATCCGGTCCTTGAACTGGGATCCAGCCAGTTCTTGTTCCAGGTTTGGGGAATAGAATTTGCAGATGATTTCGAAGCTCACATATTTATCCCTTTCTCCATGGCTGGTGTTTGGTGTGACCGGTTTTTGCCCCTAGACCTTTTGGAAGCAAGTGGCTCTTCCATACCTGCAAAAGGTCGTTAGACCATCTTTTGCTCGTTTGAGAGGGGTCGGTGGTTTTGTTGGAAAGAGGCCGCCACGTACTGTGGCCCTTTGGTTTGGTCAACGGCCTCGAGCGCGCGGGCTGGTTTGGCAGGTAAATATACCCCCTCAACTCCTTTGCACCACCAATCCAAACCGGTCTCCATTGGAGACAAGCGACGGCGTTTCGTCCAGGCTAAGCCTTCAGTGCCGCCGCCACCGAGGCCCACGCACGGCTCACCCAGAACGTGGTATGAGTCTGAAGGTTGATCCAAGAACAGAAACGGAGTAGAGCGGATATGCATTTCCATGTAGCTCATCTCGACTAAGGGATCCGTTGAGGTGTTTCTTTTTTTAGATTCAACCCACAAAGTCGGAATTGGCAACGATTGGTTTTGCTCTCGTGAAAATACACTGGACGTCTGATATATGCTGGATTGTTTTTGTTTTGTCGTATGGGATCGTCGATCCGATCTGAGCCCGGGATTCGTAGCACCGTCGGCATCAAAGCACTTGGGAATAAGCGTGGGGCTGGGCAAGGACCTCATGACACTTAGACAGCCGTAAGGGATTCTGAATGTTCCAACATTACGGGTTTATGAATCTGGGGTCAACATGAGGTTCCTAGCTCCGACCGCGGGGGCTCCTAAGGAACTCACGATGACCCAGCGAGTTTTGACTATTCTTAGGATGGGTGGGCTTTGTGAAGGTCTTATCCTCTGCTGGTCTCAGAACTCTAAGGAGTCTTTGTCGAATATTCCAGGTCCAATCCGTTTGTCGCTGTGTAGGAGCTAGACAATTCCCATGTGGCCCCTGGGGAAGCATAAGCCCAACAATGCACAATAAACACCCAAACCTTTCGCCAACCCGCCAGCCCTAAAGCCAGCCCGAAGGGACACCAGTGACTCATAAGTTCCTGGACCTTATACCTTTGTTGGGAAGACCATTTTGAAGGTAAAGAAGAAGTTCAGTTTTTTTGGGGGGGCATCCACTCAAGTGAGGTGAGCACCTTGGGGGTGTTTTCGAGACTACCTTTGTCTGGGATTCCAACAGATCCTTCAACTTGCTGGTGCTCGAATGAGGGAACGACCCCCTATAAATAATCCCTTGTGGTTTCCTTCAAGGGAATCTCTTTCCGGTTCATTCCCAACACCCGGAAGGTCGTTCCATACCTATCGCACCAGCAAGTCGAGGATCCTTCAAGATCTTCAGCTTTAGGCCTGTAAGAGCGATGTTCAAGAACGGGATCAACCCCTACCCCGCGGTTTCCGACCTGTCTTTGAACAAAGGCTTTGGAAAGAAGGGACACTAAACCCAAAACCCACCCCAAACCAACCCTAAACCCATCCGAAACTTGAAGTAACGGGAAAAGATGGAAAGGGAATCAAACCCTAGCGCCTCATTCGGGTGCCAGGAAGGAGCACAAGGATGTCCAGCCGCGGCACGTGGCGACCTGGACTCCTCGCGCGCGTATTGTTTTTGTCCTGGGGGGGTTGGACAACATGTGTAGCCTTTGGCCTTTGTCACAGATAAACCGCAAGGAGGTTGTGCAAACATTTGGTGTCTAAACTTGTTTTGAACAGATGTTGGCTGAGGACAATCGACTTGGTTGCTTTCGGTAGAGAGAGATGCCTTACCAAACACAACACATACACAAACATGAAAGCCACACCACCAAACACCACAGCAAAGCCACCACAATACACAAAGAACTACTGACGAAAGCAGCGGGAAAAAACAAACAAGGCATCCACCACAAACTGTCACCAAACCCACATCGCAACCACCACCAAATGCAATTTTTCATCGACTGATCCCCGTGTTCTTTGGTGGACAACTCGTTGAGGTGATGCTCCGATTCGTGGACGGGGAGGGCGCCGTGAGTGGCGCCACCTGCCGGCTGCTGGAGACGTGCCGACCTCGGCTTCCAGAAATCTCAAGCGCCCGAATTCTGGAATCCAAGGTCAAGAATTCTGGAAGCCAAGGTCAAGCATGAGCACCAAATTCTGCTTGCCGAGTTCTGGGGAACAGTCAAGAGGCTCATGCTGATAGACAAAGTCGAGAGGGGGAAAAGATGTCCATAGGGTCCGGGACGAATCATTTTTTTCTCGCGCGCAAGCTGTCCCGAAAGCTTAAGATTATCAGAGCTTAGCCAAACTCAGTCTGGGGAGCACCAGTCACAGATCAAAGTCGAGAGGGGGACACCCCTTAAAAAGTCAACGATCAAGACTGATTCGTTGATTTTGTCCCAACGGATTGATTGCAGCTGTTTTGGTTGGTTTGCCTTGTAGGAAAAGCCCAAGTGGTATCCCCATCCCCCGGAACCCTTGCCGACGACCCTATTTGGGCAAAGACCCTTCTTCCAGGGCAACAACAGTTTGAGTCCTTTTCCCCTTCTAGGTTTTCCTTGTCGCGACTGTAAGCCTGAGGTTCCGGGTTGGGCTTTTCTTTCCAAAGGGATGGAATCCAGTTGAAGTGCACCAAGCCCTGGGGTCTCTGATATTATGTGGTAAGGTGTAAATGAGCAACTTTGAGGTTTCCAATCGCCTGCAGAATCTGCACCGCCTCAACCAGTCGTGGAATGCCACACGACTCAAGGAAAAGGAACCCTGTGCATGAAGAGAACGTCCACTTCGCACCTGTTGGTAGGTGCTCTTGTTTAGTGTGGGGTGTCATCCAGGTTAAGTTTTTCTTGGCTAAGGCTGCGTATCCGCGCCAAAAGCAGCCAGCAGAAGGGGGAGAAGCACGTTCAGACGCTGCTGGCCAAGTCTAGGTGCGGGCGTTGTGTAGGCGTGAACTGAAGTCCACCAAAGGGTCCCCAATTAAAATTAATGCCCGTTTGCTGTTAACTGCAAATCCAGAGGTGCCACTTGGGAGTGGTCGTTTTTGAAAGGAAATGATCAATTTTAGAGGTTTCTCTTAGTAACTCTTAGTAGAAGGGTTTGGATCAATGGCATTTGGGTATAAGGGGGACGGGTCCCCGAAGTTAAACATGACGAGGGGCCCAAATGGATGATCACCCCATACTTTTCGCATCGGATCCAATTGTCATAGCTGTCCCTGGATTCCTTATATCCGGTTGTTGAATCGTAATTTGCATGGAAATCGCCAGTCAGGATTTGTTCCTCTAGATGAACAGATGGGTGTGAGTCAAAAAATGGTACATCAAATGGAACCCTGGTAAATGGAAACCAAGGACTAAATCCTGTCCCCTGGTTTACTTTTGACACATCAGATCTTTGGCTTTCCCTTTCCGATGGGGGCTTGATGGGCATGCCAAGGGCACCGCCCGAGGGGTCGGGCCTTCCAATGGAAGGGCTCGCCTCAGGGAGGCCGGGTTTGATTCGGGTTTGTGTCAACGGGATTTGGAGCCCAAAAGGGGCTTCGGCCTTCCTTTTGGTTCCTCTTACGTCCAAAAAAGGGCAGGTTCCTTTTTGGATGGCTTCATCATCAGTTGTTGGGCCAGTGCAAGTGAGTCTCCTTTTGGTGGGGTGATGTTTCGACGGGACATATGGGAACAAGAACGAGGCACACTCATTCCGCACCTCGAAACCGCAGGTTGGGCGCTGTGCTGTTGCAGCAGGGCCTCCGAACGGAGGCGCGTCGCTCGCGTTGCAACCGCGTCGCTCGTGGCCCGAAACCCGAGTGGGGCTTTCGGCACCCAGGGCCGTCGAGGGCAAAGCGGCTGGTGAATTACTTGGGGTCTCTGATGCTGTTGACCAAGTCTTTCGCCAGTTGGTAGATGGTTTATTTTAGTATTTATAGGCCGACTCGTGCAGGAGTTTGGTCGATCCACAGTAATTATGATGTTATGTTCCCGTCGCCAAGAATCGTGGGCTCTCAAACAGGCCTTTTTTGAGGCTCAAAGTTTTATGGAGATCCGGACCTGTCAAATGGAGGGTCCAATGATGCTTAAGGTTAGTAGCCGTACCTCAAATGTGTTTCTTCACATTTTCCACTTTGGATCGATTGATAGAATTCAGGCTGACCAAACCTGGGCCTATCAGAGTTCCAGCAATATGTCCTCTATCCAGCATGTTTCAATCAGCTCCTTGGGAGACTGCCTCTAGAGCCAGGTATCAAACATGTGGCTTGGGTTGGTGGTCAGGGGCTGGGGTTTCGAACCCCTCGTGAAACTGTCCTTATCCAAACCAAACCACTCCAACCAGATTGGGAAGCTGAGGTGTTTTATTTTTTTCCTTTCGGGGTGTCCAAATGTCTGAAGTTTGGGGGGTCGCATGTGGTCCCATAGGTGGCGATTCCTGGTTTCCCTGGTGGTTTCGTCATCTACCAGGGAAACCCATCTATTTGCCCTAAAAGGACACCTATCAGAAGCCGTCATGCACCTGGTAAAATATCCCCTGACCTATTGGGTCCCGTGGTCCCCTGAACACCCCACGAGTCGCTGGAGGCGGAGCCTTTGCTCCGTGAGCTGCTGGCGGCCTGCGAGGAGACCTGCGGCTCAGGCCACCCCAGGCCCCGGGCGGGGGGAGGTGGGTTTTCGGCCTTTTCGGTTGTGAAGAGATGGGTTCCACAGAATTCTTTTCTCCCAAAAAGTCCATGAGGTGAGTTCTAGATTTAAGCATCACCTTCTGTGGCCCATGAAAGGTGAGTATCCCTTGGGGTGATGTTTTAAGGGGACATGTAGGGAGCCCTGTTCCACTGGTTTAGATGGGCTTCGTTGCAAAACCCACCGATATTTTCCCTTCTGCTCGGTGTTGGTTGAGAGATGGGCTGCTTGAGATACGCTCAAATCACCCAATAAGTACCCTAATGAGCGAGCTGCTTCGGCAGGGTACCTGTTTCCAGTCTGCATTTGGAGATTGGTTTCATTGCATAGGGGAACCCACTACTATTTTTCTGAAAGGTCACCTGTGGAAACGAGCCTCAAAAAGGGGCCAATTGGGTTTGCCTCAAAATGTTTGGAGCCCCACAATGGGTTAAACCATTCCTTTGGTTTCCGTTTTTACCAACCCCAAAAAGGGAACCCTGTAAAAAAGAAAGACCCAGTGCCCCAGTTGCAACAATTGGTCCATTGTCGCAATCTACGTGCCAGACTTGGGTTGAACATCCAATCAACACCTCTAAACGGAGTCCGATGTTTGACAAAGGCACAACGGTACTCACAAAGAAGGAGTCCAGACTGGAATCCAAAAGGAGCCCTTTGTTTGCCTGTGAAGAGTTAGAACAGGGTCACAAGGCATCCCTTTTTCCATCGCTTTCTGAAAAGAAAGTGGCACGCACGGAGGGGCCTTTGGTTTGTTTCTACAGCTGAAAACGAAAAAACAAGTCATGTATCATATATCGGTTCCACTTTGACTTTGGTTTCCTTAAGGGTTTTTGTTTTACCCCCGAAAGGAGGTGGGCAGGATTGCTCCCAACAGATGATCAAACCATGTTTGTTGGTCAACGGTTTCCTTTGGTTTTCCTTCTGTCGAATGTCTACCCTTGTCCCATGAATCAGCCCTAATGCCTCTTGTGGATTATAGGACCCTACCCCGCATTGCGGGGTTCAGGCAGGAGAAGGGCCAGGTAAGGCCAAAACTGGGGTCTCCTCAGAAAATTATGTTACATGTGTTTAGTCAAGCTGTATATATATAATATAAAGCATAATTTCCGAACCTCGTACTTTCAAGGGGTTCCGCGGGATTCGCCAGGAAGGGCAAAGCCGTTGGAGGGGTTTTTTAAGGGTTAGCCGTTGGGCCCTTCGGGTTCTTTGTTGGGGTTTCCCACGCCCAAACTGCTCGCTTGGGACCCAGTTTGGTGTGGGTCGGTTCTCCCCCTCAACATTTTGTTTCGTCCATGTTCAAAAGGGAATCTGGGGGGTAGAAAGAGCGGGTAGAAAGAGCCAGGGTTTTGACCAGCAACTTTGATCCAGCCACTCAGCCGGGCGTGAAGGACGCTGAGCGCGGCGCACAGCCTGGCCCGCCTCTCTGTGGAGCAGGGCGAGCTTGCAGAGGCGATCGTTGGGAATTTTGCCTTCTCCAGACTTCGAGTGGCCCCCCATTCCGTTTTTTTTGTTTCCCCTCTTTTTTTGGAGGGGGGTTTCCCTTTAAGATCAACTAACAAGGGTTGCTCCCTTTTTCAACTTGTTTCTTTCGCCCCCCGTAAAATCAACCGGCAAGACACGAGCGGCGATTCTTTCTTTCCCATGGCCACTGGGGGTTTGGGCGACTCTGGGGGTTTTGCGGGGGGTTGGGGGGTACTTTGCTGCGATAGTTTATCTCAAGAAGGGGAACCCCAACTAGTTGGTTTCCTTTGGTTCCCCGTTAAACCCAACGAAGACCCTAGGGAAGCCGAAAGGAGTTTTACGTGAAACAATAGTGGTTTTCCCGAAAGCATCGCGAAGGGTTCTTCCGTGCGGAGCCCTTGGACAAGTTACACAGAGCCAAGTTGCATAGAGCCAAGTTACATAGAGCCAAGTTACATAGAGCCAAGTTACATAGAGCCAAGTTACATAGAGCCAAGTTCCATAGGGCCAAGTTACATAGAGCCAAGTTACATAGAGCCAAGTTACATAGAGCCAAGTTACATAGAGCCAAGTTACATAGAGCCAAGTTACATAGAGCTAAGTTACATAGAGCCAAGTTACACAGAGCCAAGTGGCACAGAGCCAAGTTACACAGCGCCAAGTGGCACAGAGCCAAGTGGCGCAGAGCCAAGTGGCACAGAGCCAAGTTGCACAGAGCCAAGTGGCCAAGTGGCACAGAGCCAAGTGGCACAGAGCCAAGTGGTACAGAGCCACGTGGCACAGAGCCAAGTGGCACAGAGCCAAGTGGCACAGAGCCAAGTGGCACAGAGCCAAGTGGCACAGAGCCAAGTGGCACAGAGCCAAGTGGCACAGAGCCAAGTGGCACAGAGCCAAGGTTAGGTAGAGCTTGCGTAGAGCTTCGGCGTAAGCAGCTATGTAAGTTAGTTTAGGTTTCTAAGGTGCCGGGGCGGGAGTTTGATCATCGCTCGGGATTGCGACCCTCTGCGGAGATCCGCGTGGTCGATGTTAAAAAACTGAGGACTTTTTACGATTTCTTCGGTGCGAGCGACCCTCTGCGGAGATTCGCGTGGTCGAGGTTCAAAAACTGAGGACTTTTTACGATTTCTGCAAGCCGCGCGCGACCCTCTGCGGAGATTCGCGTGGTCGAGGTTCAAAAACTGAGGACTTTTTACGATTTCTGCGGTCCGCGCGCGACCCTCTGCGGAGATTCGCGTGGTCGAGGTTATGGGTGTCTCTTCAGTCTCTCGCATGTCTCCTTCCCCGCGAAGAGGTCACTCGCCGGGCTCGGATCCATTCCCCGGTTTCTTTCTGCAGGCGAAGCGCCTGCTGCGGCGCGCGGTGAAGGAGCGGAGGGGCGTTGGGTTCTTAGAAAAGAACAGTCCCTTTCTTGATATCATGATCAATGTCTTAGTGTTGACCCCATATTAATCAACCCCAGTTTATTTACATGAGGGCGCTCCACTCCAAAAGTGATGATTCCCCACTAAGCCCCGGGACAGCCCCCTATGAATAGACCGGGGTTGACGAATATGGGGTCAATCAACATTATCCTATTTCCTTCTGTATGTTCCTCATGTGCTCACATTCCAGACTTGCGTAATGGCTGATTCAGTTTCATTACAAACAACTTTACAAGCTCAGTTCTAAGAACTTCATTGTTTGTGTGGCTCGAATACTGCAAGTGAACTACGTATTATTTTGCTGATTCTCAGGCAATTTGTGAATGAACCTCCCGACCATAGTGGGCAACGGTTTGAAGGCATACCATGGTGCAAGTCACTCACCGAGCTCACCGATCCGGCGTGCGTTCGCGAGCGATTTGCCCCACGAAGGATCATGATGATACTGACATTGATTATGATGATGATGAGGAGGAGGAGGATGATGATGAGGACGATGGTGAGGATGATGATGCTGCTGCTGCTGATGATCACATGAAACTGATAATGACAATGGTAATAGTAACAATAATACTGATGATAATGAGCATAATGATAAAGCTATGATAACGAGGATAGTCACGATAATAATGATAATACTGATAGTAATGAAAATCCTGAAGAACAATGATACTAAAAATGATTATGACCATGATAATGATAACACCAATGATAATGGTAAGAATGCACAACACTGCTAGTAATGATAGTACTGATGCTAATGATAATAATGATAGTAATGATAATACTGATACTAATGATAATCACGATCATACTGACAACAGTTGTTGAAAATCATATCCATAACAATGACCCCCAGGACAGCCGAAAGAAATCCACGGAGCCCAACGACGCGTCGCCGGATTCCGGGGCCGACATGGCCTCAGCCGCCTCGGCGGCTGAAACCGCTTCCGCCGCGCTGCTTTGCGCGGAGGAATTGGGTGCCGTGACCGAAGACAGGATGAATCATCATGGGGGCTGGGGGGAGGGAGGGGGGGAGCGAGCCCCAAGAAGCCCTTATTGCCCTAGGCCTGCTTTGGGGCTTAGGGCTTTCTCCCTGCCCAACAGCCCCCAGGAAATCATGTTGATTCCAGATTAATCAACCCCTGTTTAGTAATAGATGGTGGGGGCCCCTCCAAAAGTGATGATTCCCCACTAGACCCAGGCAACACACCCCTATTTGTAAACTAGGGTTGATCAATAGGGGGTCAACGTTACCTTGTTTGGGCTCCCCCCTCCCTCCCTCCCTCCCTCCCTCCCTCCCTCCCTCCTTCCAGGTTGCTAAAGAGATCATCTTGATATTCTTAGGGTTTCCTCGCTAACAGTTGGGAGTCAGAGGGGAATACCCCCCTCTATTGACAGGAGTTTATTCATCTGGGCCAACATTCGGGTCACTATGGTTCTCGTGCTGTTACTTGAATGTTTACTGGGTTGGTTTTGTAAAGTCACAACCCGGGTAAACTGTCACGACGTCACATGTTTTTGGGGGTTTGTGACATCGCCCGCCATGAAGGTGTCTTCGGGATTCCCATATGTTTGATGACCAAGATAAATAAGATATCCGCCCTTTTGCTTTCTTATATGGTTTAGGGTAGACCCCTTTAGTGACAGTTTTTGGTGGTGGCTCGCCTTTTGGGGTGGGGATGCGCTGACACCCTAGATCTATGTCAAGTATTAAATCTAAAGCCCCTAGCTAAACTAACTCGGTTTTGCGACCTTGTCTTGGATCGTTGAAGTGCCATATTTCGCCGAGATTTGTCCTTTGGTGAATAGAGCAATGGCAACCCAATGGAAACGCCAGATTGACAAAGCCCTGTTTGATTGATGGGGTGTCTCTTAGTGGGGGGTCGCTTTGGATTTTTGATTGGGAACCCCCTATTCCTTTGGGTCTTCGAGTTGCCTCGTAGATTCCGGCGGTCCCTTTAGGGATCTGAATCCAGCGAATGGAGGCAAAGCCTTGCGGTGATTCGTTGTAAAAGAGGATGGGATGGAACTGCAGGGTCTCGGCAAGAGGAAGGCTCACGACTTTCCCAGTTGACTCGAGGTCTGGTTTTCAAGCGGAGCAAACTTGGGTCACGCCATGCCGCTTTTGCACTTGAGTGTTTTTTGCTGTTTGGTCTTTGGGGTTGGTACGGTCCTTGAAAGGGTCCCGAATTTGGACCCTAAAAGGGGTTCCCTGCTGAAAGGGTCTCAAGAAATCTGTGTCTGGCCCTTATTTAATCTGGGGTCAGATTCCTTGAGATTCCAGGTGCCTTGCTGCAGCAGCAGGGAGAGCTTTTGGAGGCGGAGGAGCTGTTCCGGCGTGTGCTGAAAGGCACGGGCTGGGCTGGTTTGGCTGGCTGGCTGGTTGGCTGTTTGGTCGGCTGGCTAGCTGGCTGGCTGGCTGGCTAGTTGATTGGTTGGTTAGTTGGTTGGTTGGCAGAGGCACACCACCAGGTCACCAACCCTTGTTTCCAACCAACGCAGCTATTCTATTTGGTGGTAGATGGGTCTGGCAGAAAAATGCGGCGTGCTTGGTTTCCCATCCGAAACAGCCGCGCACCCCATCTTTTCCCTTTCCCTCGGTTCCCCCACCCCCCCACCCCCCAAGCGGGGGACGTCAGCGGAGGCCGCGGCGAGGCGAAGGGTGCGGGGCACCCAGAGGCGCAGCAGGCGGCCAAGCGCCTGGTGGCCCTGTTGCAGGCCAGGGGCTGGCGGGGGGCTGGCAAGAGGCTGGCGGGGGGCTGGCAGGGGGCTGGCGGGCTGGCGGGGGTGGGGAGCTGGGGTTTCCCTCCCAAACATGGGAACCTGTAGGTTGGAAGACCATGTTCATAAGGGCACTGGGGGCTGACCTGGGTACATGGCGGGGGCGAATGAAGTTTTGGGCTGAACCAAGGTTGCCAACAACTTACTTCCACTCCAAGTCTTGGTTCCTTAAGGAGGCAGGCCCAGTTGTACAGTGGATTCCAGGCCACTTTGTGGCTGGATGGAAAGCCTGGTTGTAGTCCTTTAGCTTGTTGTGTGGATTGGGCAAACAAGCCATCTTGTTCGCCACTTAACCGGTCTATAAGCAGTTGCCAAAGTCCAGAAACTTAAAGAGTTGTTTGACTCTTTACGAGGAGTGGAACAACATGCCGGCATGGACACTTTTGGAGACTTGTTAAGCCACCAACCAGTTGCAACAACACACTGAAAGGGGTCGTCAAGAAGGACACGGCCCCAATTTCCAAACCAAGAAAAGACGTCTCCCGAAAAATCCCAAGATCGATATGCCAAGCGGACACGCTCTTTGCGGGGGGTTCACAGCGGGGAAGTCCCCCCATAGGATTAACCCTGCCTACCCACTTCAAGGTTGTAACAAGCTGCAACCCGCAAAAAAGCAAGCCAACATTTTCCCTCTAGGATCCCAGATAGGTTTCCCAACCCGAACCCCAATGTCCAAGGAAGGCCCGACCAATGAAAGCCCTGCCCGTCTGGTTGAGGGAATTGCAATCACTGTGTTATTTGTTCCCAAAGACAGATTCAACTCAGATGGGAGGCTATCGCAAAAAAGGTGGGAGTCAGCTTTCGCATTCAAGGTCCCAACTCCGGGCTACCCCCCCACAAAAAAAGACATCTTCAGACTCCGCCTCAAAACGTGGCCCACCCAAGATAAGACTCGAAACCTCCCCTTTTGGGGGGAGATCTCAGCTTCGAGAAACCGAAAACCGCCGCGCGAAAAAACCGAGACCAAACAAAGCCCGGGGCAAAGCTTCTGCTTCGTCGCGTCGTCGCGCCTTTCCTTGGGCTGGAGGAGCAAGGGGAGTTCCTGGAGGCGGAGAAGCTGCTGGGGCAGCAGCTGCGCCTCGCCGAGGAGACGGCACGAGTTCGATGCCACGGGTTCTCGTGGGTCGGCGTGGGGTTTCAGGCGGGTTTCCAGTTAAAAGAGCCGGAGAAGAGGTGCCCTCCAAAAAATGGGACAGGCCCATATATATATATATAGCTTGAGTCTTTTTTTCTTTTTTTCTTCGTGTGTTTTGAGGGTGCCCCTTTTGAAGTGGTTTTGGAGGGGAACCAAGGTAAAGGCCACCACTTTAAGGGTGGCCCCCCCCATTTGAAGACAAGCTCATGTCTTGAAGGGTCGGCGAAATATGAAGCAGAATCTGAACCTCGATTTTTCGTGGTCCCCGCAATTGGGCCAAGTCCGGCCAAGTCCGATGGTGCATGTTCTTCTTTTTCTCCCGGTGGGGCATCAAATTCCAAAAAGGCTGCCCGGTTTTCTCACGGCCGTGTGGGTGGGTGTGTGTGTGTGTGTGTGTGTTCCTGTCCTACCTAGGGGACGACAAATTGCAACGAGCCTGGGCAAAAGGGGTCACCCACTAGGGGATTCCTAGCTTCCCACATTCGCAGGGGTTGCCCATTTAAGCTGTGGATCGCTTTAGGGACTGTGTACCCCTTTGTTGCGGCCCAAGGCAAATGAGTACTATCGACAAGAGGCTGAATTCCACCAGGGCTTTCTTTTATGTGGGTGATAATATGCAAGGCTGTGTCTTGTTTGTGCGTGGCCAAGTTGGAGTCAGTGAGGAACCCTCGTTGCAGGGGTTCAGCATATACCCTTTTCGGTTGGCAACTCTAAGTAAAGGGTTCTGTCCGGTGATGTTTGAAGGGGACGTATCATGGTTGGTCAAGACTACTGGTCGTCTATGGTTCATGTGGGCGGGTGGGGGACTCGCTAGATGTCCCACAAGACCTAGGGGACGAGCTCTACGTTTCCCACAAAATAAGGAACTCTTGCCCCCTTTGGATTGGTGAATTATTCATGCCACCTCCGTGGCCACCCTTTTGGTAACCTCTTGGCACCAGAATGATTCAAGAGCTTGGCAGGAGGTGGTGACAGGACGTGGCTCATGGCAGAAATCCACCCAAACTTCAAAAGTCCAAAAGTCTGAGGAACGGTATGTTTGGTTGCACCAAGAAACGGATCCTGCCATCCTGCTTGGTTCCCTGTTGGGACAAACACCAATCCCCCCTTCCCCCAAGATAGATCAGTGAAAGATTCAAGCATCAAACATCAAGGGATCACGACAGCCCGCTTCTCAAACAACACGGGCAGGAATCGCTGAGGAAACCTCAGGGTTTTCCTTTAAAAGGCCACAAAGAAGGGTTACAGAACATAGACAGACCGAACGGGATGCATTCCTATCCAACTTCTAGGGGACCCATCCCTCCCTTCCCCGGCAAAAAATCCTCTGGAGGAGCAGCTGGGCGCCTGGCACCCCTGGACGCTGAGTGCCTGCCATGAGCTGGGATGCTTCCTCCAGTCGCGCCTTGGCGCAAGGAGGCGGCTGGCGCTTGCGCTAAGCGCTTGCCAGAGGAAGCCAATGGAGGTCATGGGAAACTTGCTATATTGGCAGGAAACCATCCATGGAACCTGAAAAAAACACACACACCATCCATGGAAAACCAATCCATCGGAACTCCGGAATCCATGGCTTGCGCTAGAAGTCACACCAGCCATCTTTGCGTTGTTTAGATTGGCCCCGCCCTTCATAGAGGGCAATCCACTGTCAATTGTAGGCAACCCTCAGCTTTTCAAACGTTTACTGGGTTCACCGAACCCGTGGACCACTCCCTTCTGGACAGGTAAGAATTCCGATTGCTTGCAAGGGACAATGCATGGCAGCGGATTTCGGAACCCATTGGTTAGCTGGAACTTACTTGGGGTCAAACCTATGGTTGTTCTGTCTCCAAATATTGAGCCCCTGAAAATCGTGTGGTTTGCCTCCAGTCTCCCGTGAAACCAGAAAGGCTTCAGAGGCATGTCATGTGTGCCATTGGCACAAGTGAGCAACAGGCAACACTCGAAAAGACTGTTTTCCGTTTTTCCATTGGTGTTGCAGTTTCATGGAGGTGTGTCTTTGTTATGTCACCCCGCAAAATTGTGGCTTCCTGTGGTTTCCCTTGAAAACCACAAACAAGGGTGTTAAACCAAAACTTAGCCTCTATAAATCGGGGGTTCTGTCGTTTTCGCCGTACCCGAAAATAAAAGCGTAACCAATCACGTAAATAAGTCAAGCTTTCTGGTTGGCCTGGCCCTTAATAGAAAGAGTCCGTAAATAATATGGTAAATAGTGAGGTAAATAGTTGTAATTCGTTTTCGCTTGCCCGATCTTGAGTGACCATGCGTGAGCTGGACTTAGTGTCCCTCATGGACAGGGATATGTATTGACGAGAATCTCCCCCTTCGCGAATTTCACCTGCTCATATCACTGAAGGAAGGCAAAGCATCATGAGTCATAAACCATTGGAAGAGCCGCGACATCTTTGACATTAATGTTCATGCGTACTGGTAGCTGCGAGCCACATGTTTTTTTGCTCGCGAGCATGTGTGTCGTTGGCAAAGCCAAAAAGCTCCGGACGCAAAAGCACGGGCGCCCATGCTTGCGCTTGGGTTGCGTTGCCATGCTTACACCCGGCAGTCAGAACCCCCACCAAGATACATGTGTGTTTAGTGATCATGAGAAAGGAGATGCTGTAGGAAGCGAGGACTAGGAACACTGCGTCTTGTCATAGAACGTCCGGTATGTCCGGTCATTGGTTATGTCAGCTGCGTGAACAACATTCAGAATATTTGAGGGCTCTTTCCAACAATCAAGACTTAGTAAGCTTATTGTTGGGCGACCTTGCGAGGGCCAATCTTGAAGAACATCAAGATTAACAAACGTCTATATTCCTAACATGCACCTGGCGCACAGACACACAGACACCACCCACACACACAAACACACATGCACACACGACTCTTCACGCGGTTGTCTCTGCGTGGCCACTGATCCAACCAGTCAGGAGTTGCAAAGGACGATTTCAAGCCTTGCCTTCTTGCAGCTTTGCTTGCAAGGTTGTGGTACTGTCGGGCGTTGATTTTTTTCTCTGCCGCGGCTTCGCCTCGCTAGTCCGCAAGACCCAGGGAACCCAAGAACCGATCCCAGAAATCCAGTTGAGAAAAGGCCGGAAAAGAGGAGCGATCGATGCTGTCACATGTGCACGCAAGTTCTGCGGACGGACCTCCATGCTCAAAATGTGCCCCCTGAACGGTTCAGAACGGTTCAGCCAGCCTTTTTCTGCGTAAATGTTTGCGTAAGTTTTCGCGTAATTTTCAGACAACTCTTTGCCTTTTTGTGCTTTGAGATTTCGGATCGCTTTCGATGTTCCGATGCCGGTCTGGCCTTTTACCTAGGACTAGGAACCGCCAGCCGCGTGCTCACGAACCGTTCCGAGGAACGGTGGCAACCAAACTGCATGCCCCTGAGCCGTTCTGAACCGTTCCGGAGGCATTGGAACGCGTGCCCCTGAACCGTTCTGAACCGTTCCGGCATCATTGGAACCCATGCCCCTGAACCGTTCTGAACCGTTCTGGAGCCCGTCTAGCAAGCAGCGCGCAGAGCAGGCGTATAGTTCAGAACCGTTCTGAACCGTTTGTCACTCAAGCTTCTCAGGAACCGTTCTGAACCGTTCAGGAGGGATTGCAGCATCATACTATGAACCGTTCTGAACCGTTCAGGAGGGATTGCAGCAGCATACCCTGAACCGTTCTGAACCGTTCAGGAAGAATTGCAAGCAGCATGCCCTGAACCGTGCTGAACCGTTCAGGAGGGATTGCAGCATCATTCCCTGAACCGTTCTGAACCGTTCGGAGACGTTGGAGCTGCGTACTAGGAACTATTCCGAAGATTGCAGCTGCACGCGCAGGAATTGCTCTTGCTTCTGCTCACGCATGCTTAGGCTTACCAACCACGTGTTTAAGACTCAAGATGTTTGGCCTCCTAACATTTCTATGGTAGCTGCTAAGGATTCAACAAAGATCATTCAATCAACTCCTTGGGCTCTTGTTATGGAGATGGGAGGGGCGCGTTGGAGCCTACCTTCTTCTTGCCAATGTTTTGCCATTGGCTTGTCTGATTATGCGCCTTTTATCTCTGTTCAGGCCTGGTGCATGGCAAATGATGCAGCTTCCAGCTTCCAACACTGAGGCACACATTGTTTACATGATCTTTTACGTGTTTATTTAAGGCCTGTTTTTGTTTACATGAATATTTACATGAACAGTGACGTGGTTTGTTCCATAGCTATTGGCCGGATAAAACCTCCACAGAGATAGAGGCTAAGTTTTGGTCTAACAAGGGTGCCCTCAAACAAAGACGTAGCCATTGGCATGGATCTGTTTGTTGTGCGGTGCATTGCCATGGGTTTGTTGTGAGTGCCCTTTCAGTTCCTACCTGGTCTACTGGATGGACGAAATCCTCATTCCAGGGTTTCTTAGCTGGTGCAATCATTTTCGTCCATGAACAGTATGAGTAGGGGAGTTGCCAAAGCGAGGTCCTTTTGAAGCCATGGAAAGGTGCTTCGGTTCTTACCTAGCTTCAGGGGTTACTACTGAGTTCCTTAAAGTGAACATGCTGAGGGGTTCTCAAGCATACCTTGGGGGCTGGCTTCCTTCAAACCACCCGAGAGGACTTCCCAACAAGCTCCAGGTTCGGAAAGTTCGAGGATGTCGCTGACATGGACTGAGTGTTAGGACGGCCTCCATAAACCTTTATGATTATGCTTTGGAGCTGATTGGCCTTTATGATTATGCTTTGGAGCTGATTGGGCGGAGAATATTCACTTTCTTCCACTGTTGTATAAGAGATGCTGAGATTACTCTCATATACATAATAGGGGCCACCCACCAAATTCACAAGCTAGCTGCAAACACTATGAACAGGGTTTCCCTTTGGTCGCTTTAAACATCCCTTTTTGGGCCAATTAACATTATTTTCGTTTCGGTGAGGTGATGTTTAGGGTGGACATATAGGGAATATTGACTACGGCTCATTTGAGCCGAAAGGCCTAGCTTAAAAGCAATGCCCAACACGGGTTGAGAGGCATTTCACCTCCTCCAAGATGCTTGGACCTTCCGTGTTAGCAGTCAAATACAGGCAAGGACAGTTTAATCCCCTATGGTTTTCCCCCATTGTTGTTCCTTTTCTTTAGGCGGCTTTGACCATCACCTTTGGATCGCCAACTTACAATGTGAGTTTCCGTTTGAAAGAGCGGGAGTCTCTGTATATTCCTTCGAACCAATTTTGACCAATTCTAGGTGTTCATCCACCCCGAGTTTCCAGCCTTTCGCTGCTCCTGCTTCAACAGTCATGGCGTTGCTTGCAACATCTTCAAGCCCGTTTTTCCCCAACAGCTGAAAGCTTTGAGCTCTCAGCCCAGATAGGCTTTGGGGTGGTCCGGGGCGGCCCTGAGGTAAGGTTCCACGAGGGTTCGTTCCACCAAGTTCCACCAGGGTTCCACGAGGGTTGCACGAGGTTTCGCGAGGACTGCGGGGTGGTGCAAAGAGCACCGCATGCTGTTGGGGATATCACCTGAGCTTATTCTGAGCATCTAATCTCAATATTTTGTCTAGCTTTGGGCTGATGCTTGGTTGAAAGATAGGTTGGAACATAGCATCAGGAATTGGCTTTGGGGGTCGACTATAGAACCCTGTTTTCTGCGTATCCCTGATTTCCTACGGACATGTCCTTAAGGGATGGCTATAGGGAATTTCCTTCGGGGTGAAACACATGTATCTTTCGGTTAGGTTGGACATCTATTCGGGTTCCCTGCACAGTATTTTACTCTTGTGGTTTCAAGCATCACGTTTTTGCTGCCAGTTAAAGTGAGTTTCCTTTGGGGTGATGTCAATATATTTTGAGGTTGGCCAACTATGAGACACAATCTAAACATAGCAGTTTTGGTTTGCCTTGGGGTTGGGTCAGTATTCATTGTGCGAGCCGCTATTTCCGAATGGTATTTGGTAAGTGCGCCAAATGCCAGTCCCTTCACAGTGACAGTAAATGCCGACTATTTTCTGTTGTAGGGCAGACCAACTTCTGGTCAGAGTCTGAACATCACATTTTCTGTGCACCCATCTTTGGGCCAAAGATGAACAAGCAAAGGGGGGAGGGCCATTTGTCCATTTGCTCGAACCCCCACCCCCCTGTTGGTTCCCCCCGTCCACCGGGGCCATTTGTCCACACACCCCGCTACCCACCCCACCCCCTCCCCCCACCACCCCCACCCACCGTGAGCGAAGCAACCTGAGGCGAGGGAAGCTCTTCAAGGCCTCCGAGCGACACCGCCAGGCCCTCGCCGGGCGTGAGGACCGCCCGTGGCTGTCCCATGGCGGGTGGGGGGGGGGGGTTTTCTGGGAATGGGGTGAGGGGGGTTAAACGTGTGGAGATCGGTGCTGGAGGATCCATTGGTTCTTTTTTTCAGGATTTGGAGGTCTTGAGATTCTTAAGCAGTATTGCGGCCTTAGTTTGGGAGAATATCAGTCGTGGTTTAAAGTGGTGACCTTGATTATAAGGCGGATGAGATTGTGCCTTGCCTGTTCACATAGCAGCACCTTTGCACTTCACTGGTTGGGGAAATGCATATTTTCCCGCTAAACCCACATAGGCGCACGGCTATTGCGAAGCGTTTTTCTTGCAGGGGCAAGTTTTAAGACTTGGAAGGTCCCTTTTAGGTTTGGATGGATATACATGGCACTGGTTTAGATTGGTTTTATTCCAAACCAGGACGTCTACTTGACCAAAATAAATTTATGGTCGGAACCACATCGAAAGTGGTTGGTTCTGATGTAAGGCTCCCCGAGGATTCGTGCCCCCTTCTCAACTTCGGATTCCATGCTGAAATTCGTGGGTTCCGCTGGTTCCCATTCATCAGATCTGGGTGGCTCCCTGCCGTCCTTTCAGGATTTTCGTGTTTTTTTTTTGGCGTCGGTTTGGTGGTTTGGGTTTCCACTTCCGCAAGTTAGAAGCACTTTTCGCCGGGGATCAGAACACGGACGCCACCGCCACACCCGAGAGGACCAGCTGGGCGCCATCCACCTGGAGACGCTCGGCTCGGCGCAGCAGTTGGCCAAGGTTCTGCAGGCGCGTGGCGCAACGCGCGTTGAAGACGACGCCGTGGAAGACAACGCGGCTCAGGGGGTTTGGTTAAAAGGGCCCGGTTTTAGTCCGACTTCGAAAAGATGACCTGCTCAAAATTTGGGACTCCCCAAACAAGGTTGGTTAACAGGGCCCGGTTTTAGTGCGACTTCTTCAAGGTGACCTGCTCAGAAATTGCCAACGTTGTGGTTTCAAAGGTTTTCCCGGCCCCGCAAAATCGATATTGGGACAGGCTCATTTAGAATGCGCGCGTGCGCGTGTCAAAGATAGCGGGGTTGGGTAGCAGGGTTGGGCAAAAACAGTTGTGTAATCAACGTCCTTCCATGTGGCGGTTGATCAAAGGGTCTGATGAAGCATGGAATGACCGTTGGTTGGACAACCAAACAGATGTGATATTTCAACCGCACGGGTCAGCAAAGAGGCTCTAAATGGAATGTTGGTCTCAACAGCATTTTTTTTTGCGTGGTTCAAATTTCAACCACCTTCTGGGTATGGTTGTTCGTGTGATTGGCGGGCTTTGGGGAGGCCAGACTTTCGGAGGTGCTGTTGCTTTTTTCAATCGAGTCGGTCCCTTCAAATTCACCTGCCCGGAGTCTTTCTTTTGAACAAGGACCCCATGTTTACAGGGTCGTGGAGACTCCAGGTACCGCAAAACGGTGCTCCATTTTTGCGCAGATCTCCAAGAGCGATGCCACACAATTGTTAATGTTGAAACGCATGTGGAAACATGAACTGTGTGTGGAATGCTTGACCATAATGGCATGTGCCATTTTGGCTCAAGCATTGCTCTGGGTTCCTGGAACCCAAGCTGATTGAACAACTTTGATCTTTTGCATTTTCGATCTTAACCCCGACCAAGCAATGGCTTCCTCGGCAACCTCGGCAACTTCCTTTGAGTTGATTGAGGACCAGACACTCACCGTGGAGGAGGTTGAAATGGCCAGCCAGGAGGCCCAGGACATTCGCACACGGGAGGCGGCAGTGGCGGCCGGCTTGGTTTTGGACGAGCCCGAGGCCCCCCCGTCAGCTTCGGCGACCGATGTGATGAATGACCTCTCCAGTGCACTGGAGCGTCTCCAAGTGGCATTTGCCACACCGACTCCCGGCTTGGGTGCCCCTGGCCCCGCCGAGGAGGGCGACAGGGACATGGGGGATGCGGACAGGCCACCCACGAAGAGACTGAAGGGCTTTGTGGCGGCTTCTCAGAAGGCTACGTCTCAGGCCAACAAACCTGTCACCTTGGTGCCGGTGGACGGAAAACCTGGGTACTTCAAGCTGGTGGACCTCCCGGACTTGTTTCCAGTCCTTCCAGCGTCGGCGGCCACCTTGCTGAGAGACATCACGGTGGAGGAGGCGGTCTCCCTGTTTTACAAGTTTGTTGGGAAGAACCTCACGGAGGACCTGGTGATCCGCATCTTGGAGGCGTACGTCCCGATGAAGATCCAGCTCCGCCAGGAGGAGGTCTGGGCTTCGCAGTTCCAGAGGAACAAGGCGTGTATCGGCACCCAGCGCATGTACAGGCTCGACGCAGGTCATTCCGACTACAAGTTCATGTGCAAGGCATGCGGAACGGGGTGGCCAGAGGCAGCCAAGCAGTGCTGGGTCTGCCCCGGCAAGGAGTCCGCCCCCTTCCAGGCACCCTCGGCCACCTATGAGGCGGACGGCATCACCTACAACCTGCTCATCTTGGAGGGCAAGCCAATCTGGATCCAGCAGCGGGAATGGGGAAGCCTGGGTGCCGTTGGCCCCGGTGGTACCCTGGCACAGGCCGACCGCAACTTGGTGGACGGCACGGTCTTGGGGAGAGCCCCTCCAAAAACGGACTCGGCTGATGAGATCACCATGGCAGATACGGTCCCGCTTAACATGCGGGTGGACATCCGGCAGGAGATCCTGTCCATGCAGGCGGATGACGAGGCGATGAAGGTCCGGGAAAGCCAGGAGATCCGGGTCAAAGTGCAGCGGTCCCTGAAAGAGGCGGAGGCTCAGAGCTTCGAGCTCTACCATCCCCAGGTGGACCAGGCGATCAGGAAGAAGGAGGAGCTGCATAAGGCCTTGCGGGAGCAGCGGGAGCCGACTCCGGAGGAGGCCTCGGCCAGGCGGCTGCACAAGGAGTTGGTCACTGAGGAGATGCTGGACAACGAGATGGCGATCCTGGCGCCCCTCCACAAGGGCATGCAGGCCCTGCCGTCGGATGAGGTGGCCAACGAGGGAGCCCGTGCCCTCAGGAAGGTCAACCTGGAGCGTTTCAAGGCCAAGCTGAGAGACCAGTACTTGGAGGGAAGGGCGTTGACGCCAGCCAGGCATTGGCTGAGGCGATGGGCTCCATTCAGGAGGCCCAGGCGGCAAACAAGCGAATCCAGGACACCAACCAGGCATGGATGCTCAACCACACTCTCAAGCCCTTGGAAGTGTCGGCGTGGCCGGATGATGGAAGGCCCTGGAGAGGGGCCTGTTCTGCCCCCTGGAGCTGGAGGACCCCGACGACATCATCAAGGAGAAGTATGTCCCCTACATCAAGATGCTCAGAGCGTCGCAGAACCCGTGGCACCAGGAGGCACTGCTGGAAAAGATGCCCGAGCTGGAGGCACCGGCCCCGGACTCTGAGGACGGCAAGCTGTCCCTTATCCTCTGGGCAATGAAGCGGCACCAGGGAGAGCTCCGGATGTTTGGGGGGGTTTGGAGGAAGCACGCAAGCGGTGAGATCCCCCGGGGCGCTGACCAGCAGATTAAGCTCGCGCCGGAGGAGCTCCTGGCCCTTGAGCGCAGGACTCACCCATGCACGTGCGAGCAGGACCACATCGACCCAGTCATCTACACGGCCTTGGAGATCCGGGCTCAGGTGAACCGGGGCGAGCGCCCGGCACCTGATATCTTCTGGGCGAGGGGTGATGGGGTGTTTTGGACCAGACAGACGAGAACGTGGGACCTGCCAAGCCTGACGGGAGTGTACGCCCACAGGTTCACATTGAAGTATATCTACTCGCCCAAACCTCCCGTTGATTGTGAAGACGCAACGCCGGGGCCGCATTGTGGATGGGCAACATTATCCAGATGAGGAAGGAGGCGGTGCCCTTCCTGGAGAGCCTGGGCATCCCCAAGCCGCACAGCAAGGAGGAGTGGAGTTACATCTTCAAGGAGATGGGGACATTCTTGGCGGCAAAGAATTTCATCGTGAACTGCCCGTTGCCCGTGATGGAGATGCCGGTGGCCCCCAAGGAGGCGCTGCGGTTCAGGGCAATTTGCGACGAACGGATCACCCTCCCGCTGGCCTCGCTGAAGGCCTTCGACTCGGTCTACACCAAGTTGGTGGCGGGCCTGAGCAAGTCGTCACCGTGGCCGTGGTGATGGGCGGGTACCGCCTGGTGCCCTGGTCTGGGGTGCGGAGCGTGGTGTCTGCCCCCCCCAGGACCTGGGTCCGCCTCCTTGGCCGCTCCCTTTCCGGGGCCAACGGCACCCAAGGATGAGGTCCTGGGAGTAGCCCAACCTGTCTGCTCGACCCAGTCGTGGACCACATTGCAGCGCCAATTGACCTTCACCTCCACCATCGACGGCGGACGCGGGCCAAAAGTACGTCAACAAGCACTTCCCCAAGGAGGCGAAGCATGTGTTTTGGGGCTCCGTGGAGTGTGGCTTGGTCTTGCCAAGCATCAGTGCCTGGGAAGTGGTGAGCAAGGAAAAGTTCAAGATCACGGGGGGCTATATGTGCAGATTTTGCAAGGGCTTTTGGAAGGCGAGCTGCGGGGGGACCAGGCTGCTCCAGATCACGGGGTGGCACAGGGATAAGGCCACCTGCTTGCAGTTGGTGATGGACGAGCCCCCGGAGCAGCTGTACAATCACAAGAGGGTGGAGCCAACGGAGCCTCCCAGGGATGAGCGGCTGGTCCTGGGCGACGCGAGCACCCCCCGCATGCGCTTCAGCTCCTCGAACGGCCTGGGGGATGTCTCCACGGCCTTGTGGTCGGTCATCCTGAGCAACCCGGAGAAGTCGGGGCTGGCGGCAATCCACTCGGTGGCGAAGGAGGCGATCCTGAAGGGAGGGAGCCGCTAGGTTTTGTCTCACAACCCTGTCGGATGTGGGAGTCGTGTGATCTCTTCCTCCCGGGACTTGGGTGCCATTGGCCCCGTCTCCGGGGGGGGGGGGAAATGTCTTCCTTATTGGGTTCGGTTTTCACCACTGTTTCCTCTCTTATTCCATTTTGGTGGCGCACGTGGGTTTTTCCGGTGGCATGGCAGTGGAGCCACGTCACGGCAGCTTGATCTCCTCGACCATGAGGCCACATGCATTAGCTGCCCCAAGGACGGGCCATCTCAGCCACGGGAAAAAGTGGCTGCGGCCGACTCATGGTTTCCTTGAGGTCCCCTTGAGGTTTTGGGGAATCCCCCACCTGGTCGGTCTCCCCCTCCGTGCTTTTGGGGGGTTTCTGGGGGGTTGATTTTGGGTCGCGCTCCCCCCTCTCCCTGTTAAAATCTCGGGACTTTGGGGGGGACGTGTCGGGATGCGTGTGGCCTGCCTGCTCCATCTGCACTCTGCATTCTGCAAGGTTGGAGCATGCATGCATTTGCCGCGGTGGGTCCCGGCGGTTCTTTTTCATCATGGCTAGGGTATCTACCAAGTTTCTTATGCGCCCGCCCTACACACGTCTTTGGGACCGCATTCCAAGGGTCCTATGGGACACGTTGGCGGATGAGTCCTTCTCCCCGAGACAGACGGACGGGGAGCTGTTGGTCCTGATGTGCCTGCGCCAAGGCACTGAGGAGGAGGGGAGGAAGCTGGGCGGAGAGCCGGCAATCCGCTTCTCTCAGCTCCTGGAACTCTCGGGCATTCCGGTAGGACAAGACGCCCACGTGGTCCCGACGGAATACTTCAACGGCCTGGTGGCGGCGGCGGCAGGCAGGCTTCCCCAGCCTCTGTCCGCGGCGGACCTGGCCGACCTGTGGGACAGCATATGGTTCCTCCTCCTGGCGACGGCGGATGGCAAGCC